AGTTGACTTTTAATTAATTCATTCATTCATTCATTCATCCACTGAACATCCTATAAATCTATCTTTATATGTTCAGTCTCTGTTTACAAAGTCTCTACATCTTTACTTAGCAGAGGAGATAGGAAAACGTGGAATGGGAAAAACACATTCTGACATTATTCTAGGACTTCCTTCCTCTTTAGTGGGGTACATGGCTATTATTTGACATCAGTTGATATTTCCACAGCAAAGTTGCTTATTTAATTAGTAAAGACTACTACGTAGTCCTGTTCCACATTTGTCAAAGATGAAACAAGGCCCTGATATATCCCAGGGAAAGGCCTGGGAGGGGAGGGGAAGGTGTGTTTTGATCTTCAGGACTTTTTGTTCAATGTCTTTCAATGTTCACTCTTTCAGGACTGCTGTTTTTAAGACAACCACCTGAAGATTAAAAAATGATAGAATTCATGGAATTAGGAGAAAAGGCTTGTCATATGAGTCAGGCACCTCCGTGTGCCAGTTCAGATGATCTCAGCTCACTTATGAAGCTTCTGGACACAAGTGCCACTTCAGGGATGAATGGGTCTAAGTGCATGCTCCCCCATCCTGGCTTTTTCTCCTATTGACTCCAAGGTGTGTGAGGCTACAGGACAACTGAGAACTCATGTGCGCACAGCCCCGGAGTGTAGGGAAGCTAAGGTCCCATGGAGGGAACCTTTGGCCATTGGTAGGCAGAAGCTGACAAATCTTCCTCCTGCTTCTTACCAACCAAGTGTTGTGGGATGCAGCCATGAAAGGGCATCCTTTTAGGAGAAAATCCACAACATGGAGCAAGCAGTGACACTTGCTCCCCAGCAGGGGCCAGCTCAGCACTCTCTTTCTTGTCTTATCCCCTTTTCCCTCATTTGCTTCCTGGGCTTTATTCCCTAATCAAAGAGAAGCACATACACCATTGCCCTAGGCTCTGCTTTCTTTGAAACGCAGGCTACAGTGTATATTACACCAGAACAGAGGCCAGAAGTTTCTTTCTTAGGCTCATCTCAGACTGCGGTCAGTGGAAGTTCTAGATTATGGAGAACATTTGAGAAGTAGGGGAGAACACTTAGATGATGGCAACAGATGACTTCGGGGCGACTTCAATAACCTCACGTTGAGTCTCTCTGACCACACATTGTCACCGGAACCCCTGTGGCACAAACCTGGCTCCTCACCTTGTCTACCTCCTTTCCCCATTGCCTTTCACTGCTTCCTGTAGACACGTCTGGATTATACTCCTGTGAGATCCTGCCCAAACTCTGCCCGACCGTGAAGCCCTCAGTTATGTCTTCAGCCTACAGTGCACTCCCCCGCTCTGAACTTTTCTGGCACCCATTGTCTTTTCTGCTTAGCATCGGTTGCGTCCCATCCTTGGTGTGATTTTGCCTATCTCTGAGTAATTTTATTTTTTTAATTTTAAGTTTTTATTTTCGTCCCAGTATAGGTCACATACAGTGTTATAATAGTTGCGGGTGTACAATATAGTGATTCCACACTTCCATACGTCACTCGGTGCTCATCACGACGCGTGTACTCCTTAATCTCTGAGTAATTTTCTAACAAGATGATACTGCTTGAGAGGATCTTGTTACTTCCTGGTAACTTCCGGGTCTCGGACTTCCTGGTAACCCTCAGAGAGCCGGCAGAGACCTTTCAGTGTTGGTTGCTGGTTTCCGTTGGAGAGGCCATTCGCCTTTCCTGGAGAAAACCGAGTGAGTATGAGAAAAATGGTACCAATTACGTACTCCCAGACTCCAATCCTGAATCCAGCCAAACTGCTTAACAACAGAAAAGTGTCTGTTTTTCCCTGTTTGGTTTAATGATTTTCCTGTAGATCCACATCTCTTTCTATCACAAAGAAATCACTTTATCCTGCTGGGTAATTAATACAAATGTACAGTATGGCAAACATATTCCTGTAGACGGCTTATTTTTGCTGGTAAATTACAGGAAATCCTATATAGTACACCTGGGACACCCTGCAGTTTGAAATTAGAATATAAAGTGTCTCCCAGTTCCTCCTGCTTGGCTAGGATACTGGTCTGATTGTGAAAGCCTTTCTAGTTAGACATGTAATAAACTGGAATGATGGCAAATTCATTTACTTCCCTTTAGCTTAAAATTAATAAAGATTTTAATTCTAAGCTTACAAAAACCCACCACCCTGTTTACAGCCCTCTGGGTTACTAGAAGGGGATGGGGTGTGGTGTTGGCTCCCAGTTGTGAATTCGTTCAAAAAACACACGCCACATACAAATTTGTAACCAAATCCTTAGAGTTTAAGGCATTCGCCAGTAAAACTCCTTGGCCAAGCTCTAGTTCTGCGTGATGTCACATCTATATGAGCCCTAGGACAGCATTAAACTGGCCACAGCTGTTTCTGATTAGAGCAATCTAGACCCTCTCAAAGGCAGGCTGCACCTCTTCTCTGCCCCTTCCCTCCCTCTTCCTGAGTGGCTTTCTTTAACAAAAGAACTTCTTTGTGAACATGGTCAGTGGGGTCTAGCTGTTTATTCTCACAGCAAGTTCGTGGTAATTTGGTTCAGCCTTGGAATGGCTTTCTGTACACCACATGTGGGTGAGGACACACACACACACACACACACACACACACACGGAGAAGGCCCAGAAAGTCTTTCTTCTTGATAATTGCTGGGTAAATCCTCCCTAGGCCTGTGGGTGCTGAAGTATAAATAAAGCAAACACCTTGGCATCTTCCTTTTGGGAAACAGTATTCCAATCCAGAACCAAGAGCTTAAGGGAAGTGTCAAATCTCATCTCTTCTTGGAAGAGAAGGGGGTAATGTGAGGATAGGTGGTATAAACTTTGCTGAAATTTACCCCCTCTTTTTGTTACATAGTGTGCCCCCTGGGGGGACAGGGGTCCATCAACTATTTCCTAAAGGGTCAGATGGTAAATAGTTTATTCTTGCAAGCTGCATACCTTGTTGCAACTACCCAACTCTGCTGTGTCAGTGGGACACATCCACAGAAAACTCATACGTGTCAGACAACACTTTGTTTACAAAAACAGGGGTTGGGTGGGATTTGGCCCGGGGGCCTAGCGTGCCGACCCTGCTCTAGTACAGTGGGTCTCAGGATGTGGTGGCTGGGTGCCAGTTCAAAACTGTTTGGAAATGTCCCATGAAATGTCCCATGACATGGCAAGTACGGACATGGAAAGTAAATGGCTAGTAGCAATTTCACATTGCCAGAACATTCAAGTGCCTGAACACTGCCTTTCTCTTTCTGAAGAAAGAAGAGGCCAGTTCAGGTGTTGCTGACCTTGCCTAGGGTTTTGGCATGTGGTAAAGCCATATACGGATCATGCTCAGTTGGATACCTATTTGTCCATGATGCATATGAAAACCAAAACCAAAACCCAACTGATGAATGAGTGTTTACCACAGACAGTTCGAGGGGCAGCTCTAGCCGACGCCTGAGTGAGAAACGTGTCAGTGTTCCGATCCAGCTTCTAGCCCCATTTGTCTCTCTGTGAAGAAAGCTTGGGTAATACTCTCCGTCCGCCTGCCTGAGACCCTGAAACACCAAAGCTCCATCTGCCTTGCTGGCAAGTGAGGAACAAAGGGCCTGTGCCTCTGTTTCTGGGAAGTTAGGGCAGTAGCATCATGAGGAAGGTTGGAATTCTTTTTTTCTTCTTTTGGTCTTGTGGTAAAAATTATTGGTTAGAACAGACCCACAGGGAATGGGGAAGGAGGTGCAAATTGCTGGCCTTGGAGAAAAAGAGAAAGAAAGCATTACTTCTTGAACCCAGACTGTTTTGTCTCTTTTCTGACTCTATCGAACCTCCCTCCAGTAAAGCCACCTTCCCAGCCAGGCCTCTTTTATAAGGTGCTACTCACAGGCTTGGCCTCACAGTTTGTAAACACATAGAAACTTATCTGGGATCTGGGGTTGAAGTCTTCAAAACCCAAAGAAAACTTTGGAAACTTCAGGTTGTTAAGGAAAAGCATTAAATGCCAAATTTTGATGGGTTGGGAACATTTTAAGATACTAGTACCATTGGATTCCTAGCCTTAAAAGCCATGATGTCACTGTAGAGGAATATGATGTCAGGCTGTAAAAAGATCAGAAAGCTATTGAAAATTCCTAGGCCATGTTGGGAAGTTTATATGCAATGCTGAACAGAAAATACAGTGTTCTTTTTCTTCTTCCCTCTACCTCCTTCACAAGCAGGCCTGCCAAAAGCATGAGGTGAGGCAACTGCTGCCTGGGAATATAGCTGGCTTTTATTACTAGAACTTGTTCATTCTTTAACAGAGTTGCAGTAAAACTGTTTTTCAAAGTTCCTTGGCTTAACTACTACATGAAGTATTAAATGGTCAGCCATCCCCTTTTAGAAAGAACATTTGCTTTCCATGAAGTCGGGAAGACACTTTTCCTTGTGTTGACTCAGGGCTCTCAGTAACATGGCAATCATTTGTGTATTTTCATTTAAGAAGACTAGACTTCTTGCTTTAGCTCTCTTATTAAAGAATTATGGGGGTTCTCTCTCTCTCTCTCTCTCTCTCTCTCTCTCTCTCTCCTCTTTGTCTCCCCTCACTCCTCTCTCCCCAAGGACTCAATACTAATAATGTTTTTTTAAATAATTTATATTGATACACTTTCAAAGACAACGATCTCACATTCTGATGGTAAACTATTGGGTAAATCATCTGTCAGGAATGATTAAGGAGCTGGAGAGACTGATTTATGGGGAAAGATTAAAAGAACTAAATGTGTAGAGCTTAGCTAAGCAGAGACTGGGGGCACCTGATAGTCATCTGCTAAAATCAGGGAGGGATGTGACTGGAGGAGAGGGGAGAATTATCTCACCTCGAAGCTGCGCTCTAACTGAGAGTAATGTGAAGAAATTCAGGAGAGGAGGATGTGCGATGGGTATCGCGGAAGTCTTTCTGACACTGAGATCCATTAGGCGTTGGGCTCATCTCTCAGGAGAAGTGTAGGTCCCATTCTCTGAGATGGCGGAGTGTCTGTGAGATGGGCAGGTTCCTTTCATTCAGTTCTTTGTTTCTCTTTTCCTGGGTTGTCATCCTGTTGTCCCCAGTATTTGCAAATGCTGTCTAAAACGATAGGAATAAGAACCAAAAGGAGAGGCTGAAGAGGGGGCTGGGACCCCATATCTACTGGTTCCTCCACCTTTTCCTCCTAGGCAATGATCTCTCTTCCCAGGATCCTAAAACCTACTGGATGCACAAGGTGTTTTAAGTTAAAAAAAAAAAAAAAAAAGATAAGGTAAACATAGTGGAAGAAAATACCCACGTTTCATTCCTAAGTTGGGAGAGATACAATGCTTTGAACATTATTTGAAAAATAAAGAAAGTCCCCTGAAATTCCACTGATAAAGATAATTAATGCTCACAAGTCTGAATGTATCATTTTTTTTTCACTGTCATTTATGAATTAAAGAATATAGAGTTGTTTTAAATCACTTTGGGGGCGCCTGGGTGGCGCAGTCGGTTAAGCGTCCGACTTCAGCCAGGTCACGATCTCGCGGTCCATGAGTTCGAGCCCCGCGTCGGGCTCTGGGCTGATGGCTCGGAGCCTGGAGCCTGTTTCCGATTCTGTGTCTCCCTCTCTCTCTGCCCCTCCCCCGTTCATGCTCTGTCTCTCTCTGTCCCAAAAAAATAAATAAACGTTAAAATAAAAATAAAAAAAAAATCACTTTGAGTTTGGGGTGCCTCCACTTTCTGCCACTCTGAGAATTTGGTCACTCCAAATAAAAGCAGAGCGTAAAGCCAAGGCGCAGGTGATTGGCTTCCATCCCTCACGAGAACTCCTGATAAATGCTGGGATTGGAACTGACCCATTGTGGGAATGCTGGCCAGATTCTGTTTCAATTATTTACATATTAGAGAGACGGGACCACAAGATCTTAGAATAACAATCCTAAATATTTACTATTTTCCTCTTTTTCTCTACCCACTGAGTGTGAATAGGGGGTTATGAAGGTCAGACGGGCCTATGGAGGTGAGAGATTAAAAGAGAGTGATACTGAAGAGGGAAACAAGAGAAAAAGGAACAGCAAGAGGAAATAAAACTGATTCCAAGGGATTTACAATCTGGTTAATATTTCCATCCTCTCAAATCCCTAAGTTTCATATGTAGTTTCCCTGCGAAACACAATATCAGCATAAGGCTAATATTAATTTGAATCTCTCTTAGCAACGGATAAAATATCCTAAAATTGTAATGTTATTTAAGCAAGGTCAAGAGAGAGAGGGGCATATATTGATGTGACAAGTCACTTTGAGAAAAATCAGATTACATAGCTGAGGAAAGATCCTATCCAGTTAGGAAAGAAACTAAGTTTTCTGAATTTTGGATTACCTTCCATGCAAATAAAAAGCTCAGAGAACACAATGCAGAAATCAAATGTCCAGCAGATCTCACCTGACCTGTGCATGAGAGCAAACGCATAAATTTTCCGATATACAGATTCTTTCAGCATTAATTCAATCTTCTGCTATGACAAATGAAAACAACCATTTGTTTTCCTTAAAAGCCATTATATGGATTTTAGTTACCCAAACATTTAAGTATTTCTGTTGAAATTTTAAGCTCTCATCAAAATCTTTGCTAGTATGAAGACATAGCTAAATGTCCTTTCTAAGACTTTTCTGTACAGTTTTGGAACTAACATCTAAACTGAAAATATAGTGTTCCTTTACCCAGTACATTGCTTTCATCACGTGTATGTGAGATATGTAACTGGTCAGTAAAGAGAGAGTGCAAGCTATACTTTGCCTTTCCATAGGAATCCAAAAGGGGATGGAAAACAAACACTCTCCCTCCCCACACCCTTCAGCCCCAACTGACTTTTACTCCTTTTCCTTCCAAATGCACATGCCTTTGCTAAAAGGAAACCAAAAATAGATTGGAATCTTGCTTCTAGCTTTTCTGGGTTTTCAGTTTTGTTTTCCTCTGCTATTTGCCACTTTGTTGGATGTTTTGTATGGGTCGGAACGTGTGTGTGTGCGTGTGCGCGTGCGCGCGCCTGTGTGTGTGTGTGTGTGTGTGTGTGTGTGTGTGTGGCTTAATTATATGAAAATTATACTGGGGGTTCAGTAACCAGTGGCTTGAAAATTAACTGAATTATGAAAGCTGAAATGTTGCTCATAGCATCAGTTAATGACAAGGTCGCTGCCACTGTCATATTCAAAAGAAATGTCACACTTGAATGGGGCTGAGATGGCTGTGTGGTCCCAGGGTCCCAGGTAGAGACAATGAAATGGGGGCTCCTTGGGTACTGATTCATCCCATGTTTGAATCAAACGCATTCTTCTTTCAACTCATTTTGGTTCTGCTGTGTTCCCATAACATATGGAGTCCCTAGGTATTCTGCTATAACATGGAAACTTTTAGGGCTGGGAATAACAGATCATGAATAGATTGGAAATTCTCTCTAAATGCCCCCTTGGGTGGTTGATGTAAAGGCTCATTGTGTGTTGTTTCTATCTTTTACAAAAATCAAATATGTCTAGAATTATTTGAGTCCAACAGGCTATATTAGGGATCTGAATGCCAGCATACCCCATACACTACCAGATAAATAATGACAGATGTATGCCCCTAGTATCTCTTCCTATCTCCCCGGCTCTGGGCAACTGCAGTTAATTGAAAAAGAGGAAAGAGGAAATTGAGTTTGGGACAGAGTCAGTTGGAGATGAAGGGAAAATCCAAATAAAGGACTTTGATGTTAAGCCTGTCCCAAACCAGTTGGCAGAGCTGATACAAGTTACTGCATGGGAGCAGGGGGTGGGGGTAGGGGGCCGGAACAGCAATAATTTTGCAGAGCAGTGAGCCAGAGAAGGAGCAAGAGGGATGGGTGACTTCTAACCCAAAAGGAGGCGAAGTGTGCCCCAGCTGTCTTGGACCCTGTTGAGCCCCCAAGGATCAGAACAGGGCTTCAGGAGAAGAGGAGACAGTTAGCTGCCCTGCCACTCCCCAAAACTACACCCCCATTTCCTCAGCAGAAATATATCGAATCTGCTATTGTACATGCAGTGTTTATTTTCCCTCCCTTTCTCTCTCAAGATGAGGGTTACCTAAGACATAAGACTGGAATACATAAACATGAATATACTTTTCTTCTTTTAATTTTTCTCTTTCCTACCTGGAGTCCGGATTCAAAGCGTCACCATATGGTCTTCAAGAAAACAAAACAAAACAAACAAACAAAAACCCCAGAACAACTAACAGCCACTGTTTTCCTGTCACCACCATTAAGTCCTTTACCTCTAACATCTCATTTTATCTTCACAATAGCCCACTGAGGTTAAACTTACCATCGGGGTTTTAGAGATAAGAAAACCAAATGAGGAGAGGAAAATGAGACGAGTTGCCAAAGCCTGCCCAATTGGAAAGGAACTCACCCTGGATCCCACCCCGGCAAGTCTGTCAGAAGCCCAGGTCTGTGCATGAACCCATTTGCAGTCCACCTCTCAGCTACCGTGGCTGATAGCTGGGGTGACTTTAATTCCTGCTTTGCCCAGTACAAAACTCCTTTATATTTTTGTCCCAGTCTTCCATCTGTTTGAACTTAGCCTCAGACAGGAGTTTCCTGGTAAAGATGATGGAGACACTCTACACTTAACACAGCTCCCCGGTGTGGTGTGTTGACCAGGTTTATCCCACCCGTCAGAACCTGTGGTCCTGGCAGCAGGAACAGAGCTCGGACTCTGACCCCCGGTGCCCAGGGAAGCAGCAATGGCAGTTGAGAAGGCGGGATACTTGCCCCGGGCTGCGTGCTGAATGCTGAATGCCCACAAGACAATAGAAGGACGTGGGCATGTAGCACCTGCTCTCTTGTCCCCATTGTATATTAGTTCAACTTCTCTAGAGACAAGAGAAGGTGAAAGAAAGGGGTGGTGGGGTGAGCACAACTAGGGCAGTGAACCCTCAGTTGAGAATTAATCAATAATTCTGTCTCATTAGATAACTACACAACCTGTTACAATTTTCTCTGATTACTCATGCTGAGCAGTAACATACAGGGGAAGGATATTCCTCAGTGTTTATAGTTCGTAGAGTGAGAGCAGTTGCAAGGAACTTTTTTGCAACTCTTAATCTCGGGGGGGAAAAAGTGCGTAGACACCTAAAGAAAATCTATCCTACGTTTGGGGCATTCAGTAGGAAAAGCACGTGACATGCTTTGGGATGAACATGTTGCTCAAGACACCTCCAGGGAAGAAGGAAAAAGGAAAGACAAACCCTGACCGAAAATTCCATAGGCCTAAAACTTAGGATACACATAAATGTCATTGGTATTCTGTGGGGATGGAGGTGTGTCGACGGTCCCCTCCACTTACAGGTGAAGACAGCAGCATTTGTGCCAACTTCCAATTCCCACTCTGGTATCTGCCACAATGCCATACTGGCCGCTCTGGTTCACTACTTCAGGGAGGTAATACATCTGGGTTTGGGAGATTTTTTTCCCAGAAGTAGGTGGGTGCTATGGGATGCTGGGTGACTCAGTCGAGTAAGCCTCTGATTCTTGATTTCAGCTCAGGTCATGATCTCGTGGTTTGTGGGATCAAGCCTGGTATTGGGCTCTGTGCTGACAGCATGCAGCCTGCTTGGGATTCTCTCTCTCTCTCTCTCTCTCTCTCTCTCTCTCAATAAATAAATAAACATTAAAAAAAAGTAGTGAGTGAGTGTTATTCCCTCTGTGTGGAGTCCATATCATATCCTTGAACTAGAATCTATGATGAAATAGTTTATCTTTAAGTATATAAAAGCCAGTGTGGTGACAGCAAAAACGTTTTTTGAACACTTGCTAGACCATGCTCTAATTTGAGGATTTTACTTGGATTAAGTTATTTAATATCCTCACTACACACCAAGGGAGGGAGGGACTCTTACGATCCCCACTTTAAACAGGTAACACTGAGATTCCAGATGGAATATCCCCTCCAGAGTTCTATCATTCTTCAGCCCATGGAGATTGGCCTCCCCAGTGGGATGGCTCTGAAAAAGATGAAGAATAGTTTGAGTTTTCTTGGGTTCAAATTTGACAATTACTCTTTTTTTTTCTTTTTAAATCTTTCCTTAAATATCACTT